CAGGGCATTGTGAGAAGTCTTGCGCAACAAGACGAGCTTTGTAACGTACAATTTCGTTATTCTCATTACGTTTTCGAATGAAAACCCACTTGTTGCCAACGAGCTTCGCATGTGGAAAAATAGGAACTACACGTCCAAACACCTTACGTTTCGCAAGTGAATCAAGTTTGAGTTGGATTGCTTGTTTCCAGTTTGACCAATCAGTTCTATATTTACATTCATCAACAAAACGAGGTTCAATGTTATCACTTAACATGATCTCAGTAGCTACTGCATATGCTAATACATCATTGATGAACATCTTAATTTTACACCAAACATCATCCAAGCTAGCATAATGGACCGAAATCTCATGATTCTCGGGAAGTGGATTCGTCTATTCAAGGACGCTTTCGTAATCTAGATTTTCCTCATGAGTAAGATAGAATGAATAGGCAACAGTTGAATTCACTGTAGGCTCAACAACATGTGTTGTGGGTTTCCTCTTCCAGGGGTGTGAATCATTTGAACCAAGAGGTTTGCCACGTTTTTGTGTAGGGGCAAAGGATTGGCTAGCTGCTAATGTATATGGATCGACCAAGGTGGCGTCCCGGGCCTCCAAGGGGGAAGTCTGTCATACATTTGGTACATCTATCTTTGCAGGCACATTTGCAACTGGAATATGTGACCTTGTCACTCGCGCTAGATCTGTGAAAGCATCTGGCATGCTCTGAGATATACTCTGAATATCTAATATGCACTGCACATTAGTTTTAGACTAAGCAATATTACATATCTAAGTAACGATCGGGAGCTTGGTACGTATGACCAATGATCGAGCAATCATTTGTAAGTGCTTAATGAATGCCTCTACCAGGCCATTCTAGGCCTGAACATGGGGTACATGATGTTCAACTTCAACCCTAATCGACATGCAATAGTCATCAAAAGTTTTAGATGTGAATTTTTTAGCATTATCCAAAGTTTTGATTTGATAATCAGGGTGGTGAGCCCTCAACTTGATAACCTGAGCCAACAATTTGGAGAATGCAACGTTCCTTGTGGACAACAAGCACATGTGTGACCAACGTGTGGAAGCGTTAACCAATAACATAAAAAATCTAAATGGTCTGCAAAGAAGGTGAATCGGTCCACAAATGTCCCCCTGAATCCTTTGTAGAAAAGTAGAAGGATTCGAGCAAATCTTGTCATAAGAATGCTTAATAATAAGTTTTCTCATAGAGCAGGTTTAACATGCGATTCCTTAAATCAAACCTAAACTTCGGGTTAGTGGATGTCTGTGTGAAGATTTGAGGATACAACGTATTATTGTTCATCCAAGTTGTCCCAAACCATCATGCCAAAGTGTAATCTCATGTGTGGTCCCTGAGGTAGGGCTGGCCACATAGTGGCTTTCTATAAGGTGTATGGTTGTAGTATACATATCACTCAGGATACGCCTCATCTTCTCTAAAATACACTTCTGGCCATATTCGTAGGAAGTGATGCACATAAATAATATCCATTCAAAATAATTTAAGTATTCAAGGATGGTAATTAAAAAAACTTAATATCCAAAAATAAATTATCAACAAATAAGCCAAATATAAAGGAAAATTGTTCAAAGTTAAACCAAAAAACAAGGGGGGTTCGCCCACTTAGTGGAATTCGGCCCTACGGGTCTAAAATTCTACTAAAAATAGTTTATGTCTAAGATTCTAATCTTTCATAGGGTAACGGCCTCTTGAAAGTCAGAAACATCCATCTTGGTACTCTCCGGTTCATCCATTTGCACAAAGTTTGATTCAAACTTCTTACGATGGGAATGATATTCAGCTACAACCTTCAAGGGAGCACGGCAAACTCAAGACCAATGGTCATTTGAACCACAACAATAGCACATGTCTGCATCCATGGTATCAAGTTCTTTGCCCTTATTTTTGAAGTTCGAGGCCTTAGGAGCGAAGTTAGAACACTTCTAAGCTCGATTTCCTCCCTTAGATGGGCCTTGGCTCTGTTGACCTTAACGGATGGCTTCTGGCTACTTCTACCATGCCTATGTTGGTGTTTTGGTGTTGGTTAGTGCTATAATGTGCTTCAAGCACAACAGTCACCCCAGTAGGTCAAGCTTGATGATTCTTCATCAACAGTTGATTCTGCTTTTCAGTGAGAAGTAAAACAGAGATCAAATCCAAAACCTTAGTGCACTTATGAGCCTTATATTGTTGCTACATGACAATATTGATGGCAGAGAAGGTCGAATAGGTCTTTTCCAGTAGATCCTCTTCAGTCAAGTTCTAATTACAGAACTTGAGAAGTGAACGGACTCGACAAACTTCATAATTATATTCATTCACAGACTTAAAATCTTAGAAGCGTAGATGCTCCTAGTCATTTCTTGCTTCAGGCAAGAAGATGTCCTTTTGGTGATTAAAACGATCAGCCAAAGCGACCCAAAGTGCTCGTGGATCTTCCTCAGCAGGGTACTTGGTTTGCAGTGCATCATGAATGTGTCTTCGGATGAAGATCATTGTAGTAGCTTTCTTAGCTTCGCCAACTGGGTTGTCCATCTCATCTTCAATGGCGGGATGCAAATTCTTTGCGGTGAGGTGGAGCTTCATATCTTGGATCCACTTGAGGTAGTTTTTTCCGGAGACTTCTAAAGCGGTGAAGTCGAGTTTCTTCAAATTTGACATGTCCTTATCACAAAATAAATGGACAAGAATGTGGTTAGTGTAATGGAAAAAAAATCAATCCATTCACATAGGAGTAGAACATTCAGGTTCTAATAGACATTTATTAGTTTAAAGTTACATGAGAAAAACTTCGGGTTTTCATGGGTGATGTTTTAAGGAAAACTTCAGGTTTTCAAACAAGGGATGTTTCTAGAAACTTTGGGTTTCAAAAAATTATGAACTTCAGGTTCATATGTTCTTGCAGACAAACACAAATATATACAGAAATATGCAACAAGAAAATATGCAAATAGATCTTCGGGGTCTAGAATTGTAATTGAATTAATTATTTGGACTTCGGGCCAAAAGTAAAATATGGGAGAAAAATTATAAACCCAAAAAGGGCCTAAAAATAGGCAATTAAACTCGGGCCCAAAAATATGGATCGAAGCCCACGGGTGAGTTGAGTAGTTATGACCGTGCGGCCTAGGCCCAAAACCAGGGTTGGGTATAAGATGGGTCGAGCCAACAGAAAAGGCTACAAGCATTTTTGGCTATAGAAGCAGGCCCAAATTGCTGGGCAAGATCCAAGAGGGCTCGTTAAGGGCACAGATGCGCTGGTTCGCAACGCAAGTGATCCTAGGGACGCGATCCAGTGCGTCATGGTGCAAGTACACTGAGCCACCAGTTAATGGACAGGATTGGGTGCGACACGGTGTAGGGAACACCGAGAGCCCAATAGGGGTTGGGTTCTGCTGCGATACAGGACAGGGCCAAGAGTAGAGGTTAGGGTTGTGCTTGTAGTAGTGAGCCTAGAGAAAGAAAAAAAACATTTTTTTTCGACCATAGTCAAGGTCAGGCCCAATAAATTGGGGTCAGACTTAAATGAAGAAATCCTAGCAAAGCTAAGTGTTATTGCCCGGGAAGATGACCGGCGCTGCCATTGTAGGTGGCCAAATCTTAGGTAGGGAAGACTTGGGATACCGTCGTGGGTCGTTAGCAATCATAAAGATGAACGAAGATAAGGAAATCTCAATGTTTCAACCAAAAACCCTAGAAATGTAAATCAGGATTTCGAAAAATCCGATGAGATTCAAAAGAATCTCAGTCAAGTGATGTTTGAGATGAGCTGCAGGCCATCAGGACGGTGCTCCGTGGGCAAAGATTGGTTGCAGGCCAACCTGCAACACTGGGGACCCCATGGAAGGCATCATGTTTATGGGTTTCGAACCTAGAGCCCGTGGCTTCGGTTTGGTCTCTCAACATGGCGACGCGGCTTCGAGCCACTGCTCGCGGGTTGGGTATTTCTGAAACCCTAGATTTTAATTCATTATTTTTTTTTCTTGATTTCCATATTCTAATTCAATTGAATTTCATGCATATTCAACATATAATTCAATGCATGAACAAATATATGAAACAATTCATGGCAATATCAATTCACATAATTGACAATTATGGATATAATGCATACACAATTTATGTAAAATCTAAAATTCAAAAAACATTACGTTGGGTCATGCATTATGGTGAATGTTCATGCTATTAGAGTTGCAAAAATATCGAGATAAAAATTGTTGTTTTGGAAGAACCTGATTGAGTGATAATATTGATGAACTGGTTTAACGCAAAAAACTTTCACGTCAGATTCCTAAGTGCAGCGGTAGGAGCGTGCTAATAACGTGTTGTGGCTTATTTTAATTTGACAAGGGAGATAAGGGGCACGGCAGGGAGAGATGTGTTTGTAGGGTTATGTAAATGATGTGTTATTCCCCCTATGCATTGTCTTTATTTATAGTAATAGGGGAGGGAAGAATCCTTCTCCTCCAAGGAATACAAGTTCTAATAGAAAAGAATAACTAGTATCAAATATAATTTAGGATTTACACTTTCACATTTGAATACAATGTTTATAACAAGAATGACGCTTTCTACTTTATTAACTTATTATTGAATAAACATACTTCCCTTTGTACTCCGTCTTCATGTTTTTGTATTGTAATATTTATGTAAAACTCATCTTTGCTCTATTGAATAAACATACTTCCCTTTGTACTCCGTCTTCATGTTTTTGTATTGTAATATTTATGTAAAACTCATCTTTGCTGGCCCTGTTTTGAATAAAAGTTTACTCTAAAATATTTCAAGTAACTCCCTTCGTGTGTATCTTAAACTCGTGTCACAAGTACAAGTATCATATTTCATTAAATATTCACCATGAATTTGGGGGCATGACAACTTCAACATGGTTGTCAGAGAAAAAATAAGCATGAGAAAATATATAAAACTAAGTATAAGCCATATAAACCATATAATCAAAATTTAGCATTTAACCATAAAAAAAAAAACCATTAAAATTCAACTTTCATTATTTCCACTAGCATTGACAAGCACACAAGTAAGTTACATGTTTCCCACAAGTTATAAAAGAATACATTCACAAATGACTACTCAATGGGCTTTTGACAAAAAATCAGAATCTTTGGGATATTATGTACATTCACATGATAAATAATCCAGACTGAAAATTAAAAAGAAAAGAAAAAAAGAACCATCTTTTTGAACATGTTTCCCCTAATAATTCATTTGCACAAGAATTATAACAAAAACTCAATGTGGGTTTTGTTGTTACTTGTTAGACCACTGGAACTCTATTTCTAAATTCCGTGACGGCCCGCTTTTGCTTTCTGGCAACAGAGTGTACTCTCCGGCAACTGCTCCCAGCATTACTACACGATCAATCTGGATGGTTACCTTTCCAAATGAACTCTGTCAATATATCAAATGAGAATTGGTTACCAGCTATTTGGTAGATAAAAAATGATGGATCAGATGAGAAAAGGTATCCTCTTATTATAAATAGAAGTGCCTATATGCGACATCTTTGTCCACTTACCTTTCCCATTTTGCTCTTGTTCTTGCAAGATATGTGGAGCTTCTGGCCTTTCGGAGGACTCTCAAAGGACCACGAAAAGCTTTCATCCCATTCGGGATTCGGTCCAGTTGAAACAACCTGTAAATTCACAAAATCGTGATAAGAGGTTAAAATGGCACCAATATCAAGGTCATATATCACTGGAGAAACAGAAAAGATACCATGCGCTATATCCCAGAAACACAATCAACATGGCTAGCATATTTAGTTTCCAGAATTCTACTGTTCTTGCAATAACTATGAACTATACTTCGTTTAATATATACGGTAAATGGCCTACAGTTCAACAGAAATCACAGTTCAGAGATTTCTCCTTGAATATGTCAACATGAAGAAACAACATGAAGAAAAAAAGAATTTAGGCATTTACTAAGATATTTATTTTGCATTTCTTCAAGTTCCAAAATAAAGATTCATATATTCGACCAAACTAAAAAAATAAGATTCATATATCACTTGTGAATAGAAATGGCAGTGGAGAGAACGCATTTAAAAGCGTTTTACCTGAGTTTGCTTAGGTGGAGTGTTGCCGAGTGTAATCTTGCAATAAACACTAGGATTTCCCACTGACTGCTTCATATTATTTCCACGCTTGATTATCACCACCAATGTCCCCGGCAAACATTGTAACAAAAATTCTGTCTTCTCCTGAAACCGAGGTGGGCCAGACTGAATTAAGTATTGCAGCAAGGGGATTGCATCGGCTGCAGCAATTGACTGCGCCCTAGAAACTTCAGCTGGACATGCTGACCAAGCTTGCCTAAGAAGAAAGAGTGCATCCAAGGCAGCTTCTTGAGTTGCCTCTGACCCTGTCTTGAGGGATGTAACAAGATGAGGAATGCTTAACGTTGCAGGTTCTGTGGCTCTAAGTCGTGGGAAGTTGCTAAAAAGAGCATTCAGAGCTTTCAGGTACTCCTCGTTCACAGTTCCGGTTGCCCATAAATCTTTCTCGATAGCAGCTAATGAGGCCAAAAAAATCGTATCAGTTATTTTTTTTATAAGAACAAAGAAAAATATCTGCTTCAGAAGCAACGTTATCCAAGTAACAACTGAAACCTTTCAATGAACTAAAATGATTATTCACGTGAACCAAAATGATTAATCTAACTCTAATACTTCAACAAAAAAAATATAATATAAATTAGCGGATTACTTAATTATTGATTTCAAGTTTCAACCTAGGGTTCTACTATGGTCGCACACAGCATAGCATCGTTTTGCACCTTTTAACCACAATAAAACTAAAGAAGGTACCTACTTAGATAGCTCAAATAAAATTCTGCGTAAAAGCCAAAAATAACTTACCAGTAATCACCCTTACTGTCTCACTAGAAGCATACTCTTGAATGGTATGGTTTGAAAAGAGAAGTTTAACAAACATTGCAGCCTGAATAGAAGTATCTGGATCACTTGAACCAATCAGATCCAACACAACCTGGACGCCACCAGCCTCAGCAACTGCTCTTTTATTAGATCTACTGTACATGACAAGGTTCTGCAAAGCACATATCGCTACAACCTTCATTTCTTCAGTAGGTTGCTCTTCAAGCACATTTACTAGTGCACGACAAGCTGAAACAGCGTCAGTGCTTCGAGCAAGGCCCTCATTTTGGAATAGATCACCAAGAGCTAGAGTTGCCAGTAACCTCGCTTGCTGAGCTTGGGTTTGTGGATCTAAGAGGTACTGAGACAATGGTAATACAGCAGACTTGGTAGCCTTAGTTTCTCTGATCTTCACATTGTTCAACAATACTTCCAACAGCCTAGCAGCAGTTTCCTCACACTGATGAGATCTAAGAAGATCCAAAAGAGCCTCTAAAGCACCACTTTCAGCCATTGCTTCTGCGCTGGTTGCATCATCACTTTCCAGTACCAGAAGAGCATTCAATGCACCAATTACTGTGCCTTCTGAGCCAGAACGAAGCAACCTTACCAACACAGCCACAGGCACTTCCAAGTAAAATTCAGAACTAAACTGCAGAATGCTTGATAAAACAGCAGCAGCCGATTCCCACAAGGCATGAGGAAGAGATGGATCTGATTGCAATATCACCTTGGACAATTCAGTGACACCACCCTCTTTTGCTATTTCATTCGGCCAAATTAGCGCAATACTAACAAGGGCCTTCACAGCTCTCTGCTGCAATATGTGTATACCAGAGCCAAGAACCCGTATGAGAGGACCAATCACTTGCTGAGTCACTGAATCCTTTTGAAGTTGTTCTTCAAAGAGTAAATGTGACAGAAGCTCAGCGGCCAACTGTTGTACTGCTGGAGCAGGAGAATCAAGTAAGGGAATAATAGGTTCAACAGCTTGGTGGGATGTCAACTTATAGTCAGAACGACACTGTGGATGCTCCAAAACGTTGACAAGAACTTGAAGTGCACTATGCTGCCCATCAGGTCCAAACTCTGGTTTTGTTAGAAGCACAAAAAGGGGCTCAACCACTTTTGAAGCAGATGGTCCCTTAGCAATGCTTGCATTGTTGGTCAATATTCGGAGCAGTTCTGCAAAAGCAGCAGAGAGAAAATCGGGTGCCTCATGGAGGATGTCAAGTATGCTCTCAATTACTCCAGCTTTTCACCATTTCCATCTTGCAAGCAGGCCTGTCTTTCCCTAATTTCACGAGGGCTCTAGAAATAGCTTCATGGAGCAAGTAATTCTTACCATATAGAAGACCTACAAGAGGAATAACTGCCCCGTGAGCAGCAACAAGTTCTGCCAGTTGCTCATCATCAACAAGTTTATCCAACGCACGGACAACTGAATGCTGTGCAGGACTGAACTCAGTCACAAGAAGAGACACCAGAGGCTCCACACATCTAGCTGCAGCCATTGTTGACCTGATTCTTGTATTTCCAAAGAGAACACAACACAACTCGGCAGCATCCCCTTTCAGCTCCATTGAGCAATTTGAAGAAAGAATCTTGCAGAGAACATCTACTGCATTCATCTCAACATCTGCAACTGCCAAGGCTCTTGATGGATTTTCACTCAGCAGCCTTACCAACGCAGCAATTGCAGCATGTTGCTCCTTCTCAGAACCAGTATTGAGAATCTCCACCAAGGGTTGAACAGCTTGTCGAGCACTTTCTGCATTCCTTATATGGTCAGCAGAAAACAAGCTTTCCAATGCTTTAGCAGCACTGTACCTTGAAGCTCTTCCACCTAACCGTAAAACTGCCACAAGCTGACCAACAGCACCAAATGAAGAGTCATGTCTCCTGATTTCAGCACTGCCAAATAGTATACCTAACAGATCTGTAGCAGCTTCCTCAGTTGCATCTTGAGGGCCAAGTGAAAGATATTTGGTCAGTGCTTCCAAAGCTCCTGATTCTACCATTACAATTTTATTCGATGGACAGTCTTTCGCAAGCTGAGTCAGAAGCCCAAGTGCTAAAAATGGTGCTCCAGGACGATCTGGAATGGGTTTGAGTAGATCAACAAGTGCAGGTATTGCTTTCCTGGAAGTAGCACCAACCCTTATGTCTTCAACTCTGAACAACCTCTCAAGGGCAACTTGCTCAGGATAACGTACTAAACCACACTCTTCTGACAACTGCAAAAGATCACTTATATCAATATCCGCACAGCCAAGTAGGGAAATGAGCCCGCCTGCTGCTCCAGAATTTGCAACAGATAGAAGAGTCCCCCTGCTACCATTACAGACTAGGCTGGCCATTGCCTGTGCAGCAAAATATCTGGTGGGCAAATCTTCTGATCTCAACCAGTTTGCAAGTACTGGTACAGATTTCATGGTTGCATGTGCTCGTATGATGTCTCTGTTTTGAAACAAGATTGCCAACAGCAAAGTACAAATCCATATGCTACTATCTTCTTTAAACTCAATCTGCATACATTGCACCCAGGACAAAACCAGGTTAGATCATTAGGGCTATAAGCAATATTTAATGGATAAGTAAGCAGATAGGTAGTGAACAACACTTTCCTATGATGGATCTGCGTATATACAAATTCAGAAATGATCCAATGTATCTTGATCTTCTTCCTTATTGAGTGAATACATTAAGCAAAATAAGAGAGTTGATTACCTGTGAGTAGGGTGAGAAATCATTTGAGATCCTGTCAGTGAGGACTTCCACAGCCCCAGCCTCCATAATCACAATTTTGCACCTTTCATCGTGACAGGCAAGAATAGACAGTAGCCACATAGCTAAATTGACACCACTAATTACTCCTGTGCTTGAATAAGACTCATCAATCTTTGTTTCCTCTTTAGCATGCCTATAAATGCCAATAGAATCATTCTCATTATCCCCTGGGCTTCCCAAAGAACTAAGCATTGCAACAAGAGCTTGAATTAGCTGGGTGCGTAAGTTTGATTCACTAAGATCTTCCACAACTCTCTGATGACTAACTTTTGCAACACAAATAAGTAGTGCAGTTCCTCCAGTTTTAACTTTTGATTTTGTTGAATTGATCACCCTTTTGGCAATTGATGAAATACATCCATAAGCAGTAGCAACTGTGTCACCCAATACATCAGGCTGATCTCTGCAAAGCCGTGATAATATTTCAATAGCCTTATCCTGCAACAAGGGTGTTGCATCAGCAATGGATAAAACTATTGGGGTAATACTTTTCGGGAATTCAGCCAAAACTGCCCATGCAGGTTTTATATCTCCAGAAGCACCTTCTGACCTGGATAGAATAGCAAGTGCCTCAAGTGCCTCTGATGTGGCAACAGAATCATGATTAACAGATTCTAGAAAAGAAACTAATGCAAGAACAGTTCCAGCACGATTCACACAATCAGTTAAAGCATAATCAATTTGACGAGAATGGAGCAGGCGAGCAATTGCTGCTGCTGCATGGGTCTTTCCAGGTACTGTGCCTTCACGCAAAACTCTAGTAGCCGGGAAAATAACATCTTCAGCAACTGCTTTCTCTGAAACTTCACTGTCCAAAATAAGATTAGCCAGAGCACATGTTGCTAGTTCTGCAACTTCCAGAACTGACGAGTTAGCAAGCAGAACTAATGGGGATAATATATCTCGAGCAACAGCTGCCACATCCCGGTTCTCTTTAATTGAAAGAAATATTGCCGCAAGGCAACGTGAGGCCTCTGCAAGGATATATACAGATTCGACACTAATCAACTTGATGGCTGACCAAAGAGTTTTAACAGCAATGCTACTTTCACGCAAGTCCTTCCTGGATTCAAATATTCCAGCTAAAGCTGATGCAGGACTTGGCTTGAGTCTCTTCTTTAGTTGTGCTCAATATTTTTATCATTGTCTCAATTGCATCATTAGCAGCACTACCTTCACGTGATATATCATTGAGGGGGACCACGGACAGCATACTTTTTAAAGCATCCAAAACATACACTTTAGATTCAGGTAGATCACTGGTCAATAATGCAGTAAGTTGGCTAATGGTTGCTGTATCAGATTTATGGATCAAATGATTTAAAGTCTTTGCTGCAATTTCTTTTCCGTTTGAACTTCCATTCTTTAGAAGCCACAGTAATGCAGGAACAGCATCAGCACTTTCAACACATGCACGTATATCTTCACTGTGGTTGCACAGGTTCCTAAGGATTGATGCTGAATCTTCCTTGGCTTTTGCAGATCCTGTCTCCAGAATCTGAACAAGTGGAGGTATGCCACCAGCAGCAGTAATAGCCCATTTACTTTCGTCATTCTCATTGGAAAGCAGGCAAAGCAGTGCAACTGCACATTCTTGCTGCTGTTCTGATGAAAGCCCAAGAAGTGATATCAACAGCTGAACCCCTTCACGACCTTGAAGCGCACACCACAGACTTTCCTCACTATTGCAAAGTGCAAGAAGAGCTCTCATTAGCTCATCCTGAACTTCATTTGTTGCCATTGTGATCAAACCAACAAGCAAACGCTTTGCTTCTGAATTGGCAAGTTTAACTGAGAGTACAGAATTCCCATACAAACTCGCAAGGGCCTCTATGGTTCGTTCCTGAACAAGAAACGGTAAACGCGGTTTGAACTGTGAAACCAATGTCTGCTCAATAACCACAGGATCTGATGCTCTATTAGATTCTGCTGTACTATCATATATCATCAAAGCTGAAGCCAAAGCCCCTAATGTATCAGAAATTTGGGCAGGTGAAGTGCAAGATTCAAGGCTTTGCCCAAGGCTTGAGATAACATATGACAAACCACCAGAAATATTTGCTAAAGCACACATCGCATTCTCCTGCAACGCTTGGGCATACTCACCCTGCATGAATTCTTTGGAGGGGCTATTGTAGCATTTATCAATACAGGAATGCCATTGAAGTTAGCTATTTCCCGTCTTGCTTCTTTGCACTGGGCAGAAAGAGATTTAAGAGCACCTGCAGCTTCTGCTCTAACAGAAGCTTCATTTCCGGATCCTAAAAGCTTGAGAAGTTGTTTGGTAGCCTCTGAAGCCAGCACCTTAGAACAGACAGATGGATCTTCCACCATCATACATGCAAGTAGAAAGCACACGTTAGCTTGAGTGCTTGACTGCCCGGTTGTCAGCAACTTCACAAGTATATCCACTGCTCCAGCTTGGAAGGTTGCAGTCCAGAATCCCTCAGTGCTGCTGGATAGGTTCTTTAACGCTCCAGTCAACAAACTATCAACCAAACTACCAGTTTTGATCCCTTTTTGTAGCTGCTCCCAGAGCACTGGCACAACTCCTTCAGTTGAAAATATTTTTGATCCAACATGATCCCTGGCACCACCTTGAGAAACAGCATAAATTGTCTTCGCAGATGCAACTTGCCCTTCTGCTGAGCTGGACCTGAGTAGACCAAGCAATGGCGGAATGCATCCTCCAAGCAAGACTTTCACCCTGAGTTCATTCTCCTTGCAGAGAGAGCCTAAAACAGTAGCAGCTTGTATCTTAACTCCAACTGAACCTGATCGAAGAAGAGAAACAAGCACTGGAACTGCTTGAGAGTGAGATCCAACAGCACTGAAAGCATTTTCACGAGTATTGATAAGCTCAAGCAACTGCTTCAACGAATACTCCTTGTCTTGTACAGATGAGGAACTTTGACGCAGCTGCTCAATGCATTGAGCAACACTTGCCAATGTCCCATCTGCATCCTCCATGCTACTACTACGATCTCTGTAAGAAATATGAGAACCAAAGATAACTTAGCCAGAATTATCCCCATGTTTTATAATAAACATAGCTTTTATTAACTAAAGAAAATACAACACAGTGGACAAGGTCCACCCACCCACCACCCACCCCCCCCCCCCCCCCCCCCCCCCCCCCCAAAACCACTTATTAGCCTGCATCTAAAACAAGAAAATACGACTCTGAAGAAGGTAAATCAACATGACATAATTACAAGATAACAGAATTCCAAATATATGTGGCATGAAAACCAAATCCTATAACCTCAGAAATAATTGATAGTGACACTTAATATTTCAAATTGACAACCTGTTATTGGGTCTCATTTATTCACAGCTTGCAGAAGACACAGATCACTAGTTAAATTCCATCAAACAACTCAAACCCATAAAATTTTAAAAAATAAAAAAATATTTGAAAGATGTCCGACCAAAGGTAACCAAAATGCATCATTGCTTCAAAGTGACAAATTACTGATTCTATCGTAACAGCATTTATTGGTAAACTCCACCAACATAGTAAGCATTTAATGCACTGGAAGGAATACGATGTGTAGGAAGTATTGAGAAAAACTACCTATAACATTGTCAATCTTACTGCCTACAAAATCCAACATTTGCATGTTCTTTCTCCTGTGATGGAGATAAGAACTTCTAAAGTATGATTATGATATGAAAAAAGCGGTTCTTAAAACAGTTTTAATTCCGTCATAATTTGAGACAGAAGATGTGGTTCTTAATTGATAAACTAAACAACGATCAAGTTTTGCTAGAATGGAGAGAGTGTGTAGAAGAGTAGACAAGCCCCATTAAAAAAGCAAGCAACCAGATCCCCAGCTTCGCTTGCGTGAAATCATTTTGGAACTATATGACCTCCACCCTTAGGATTAGACACAGAAACAAACTATCATTAATGGAAGTGCTACCTCCTAAGGGAGACTAGTTCAAGTATTTCTCCATCCTGCCACAAGCAGACACTAGCTCACAGAAAGCAGCAAAATACTCGCTAGCATAACCTACTAGAACCTTAATGATTACCAAGTGGCAAAAAATTTCCCATATGCAAACAAATTCCTTTAACCAACTTGGCCAAATAGTTTGCGGAAAGAAATTTTAACCAACCTTGAACCCATCTTTAAAAGAGAATGTGGTGTTGGAGGCTCCGAATCTTGAACTTTTGCATCACCATTCCTTTCCTGAAATCACAAGAACGAAAGCAATGAGAGAATAATCCATTATGCGCTTTTGTATCTAAAACATGAAATCTCACCCTCTCCACCACCCCCCCCCCCTACTGGTTTAATTTTTCTCAATATGATTCTTTCTTTTCTTCATAACTTGGGATCATTGTGAGTTGCTTTTCAATATCCACTCTCAACCAATATTTTGGGTGGGAAACAGACTTCTTGGGATCGGTTATGAATCCAATTCCAAATTTAAATTTTCCCAAGCTCCCAGAAACGCATTCCCGAATCACTTAAAATTCAGTGCTACTAGATTTTAAATCTGCTAAACTCTAGAGTAATAATCCATACCAAACACTGTGCAGCAGAATGAGGCATATAGATTGGACAATGAAACAAGAAGATGGAAAATGGCAGCCAACCCAATATTCATAATAGAAAGAAACCAACATAAGAAATAGAAATGAAACAGAAACGACATAATAGGCGGGTACGGGTACCAGATCATTAGTGGAAAGGGTGCTGCCATTGGTGGCAGCATACCTCCATCCCATTGTGGTTGCCATGCCAGCTTTGCTGCTACTCTTCAAGATTCCTTAGGAAAAAGGAGTAAAGAGAAGAGACCAGCTTGGCCTTCTCCAGATCTACCTCACCTCACAGCCTCCTGCCACCCAAACACAAGGAATCCAGATCAGATAACAAATCTAACAATTTACCACAAATTCTACAAATTGAAGCATGATTGAGTGAGTGAGCTAGTGAAGCTGAATTGACATGTTCCTCACTTGCATTTCTTGTTTCTGCAGAAGAAAGGAACAGATCAACATACAATTGCTCTCTCACAGGAAGGAGGATTCGGATGAGATCGAATCAAGTCCGGAGCTTTCAGTGGGGAGTCAAAGCGCAACACTAACAAATGCAAACCCAATTGTGCAAATGTGCAAATGTGCAATTGAGAGAGAGAGATGGAGGAGGTGAGACCTTGAGATAGTGAGAGATGCAGAAGCTGTTTGGTGCATCAATTCGATTGAGCTGGCAATTGGGTTTCGTAAAAGACAAGGGAATTGAAGCGCTACAACACCACAACTACAAGTCTACAAGCAACAAATCAAAAAGATAGAGATTATATAATTTTCCTTTTTCTTTTTTAGTTTCCTTTTTGTCTGTTGGACGAGTTTTACGCTTACATTAGATACCGTGAAGAAGCGCGAGAGAGAGAATGACAGACAGCTGCACCGTCACAGCCTAATAAGACCACCGACAGTCGGTTTCAAGCGTGAAACGCTTCCATGGCTTGGCTTCGGCTTTCTTTTCAGCTCTATAGTTGACCGGCTTTTTTAGCAAATCACATTGTAAAAGTACAAATTGAGGTTATGAAAGTATTTGGCCCGTTCGGTAATGTTTTGCAGAGCGATTTTTAAAGAACTGTTCTGTAAAATGAAAACAACAAATAGAACTTTTTATGGTTATGATTTGGGTAGTTAATTCGAAAGTGATTTTTGAGAATGAAAACATTAAAAACGCGTTTTGGTACAAATATGTAAAATGTCATATATATATTTGTGTTTTGTAATGGTGGCAGTGGTGGTAGAGATGATGGTTGAGGCGGGAATGGTGTTGGTAGCAAGGGTAATGGGGTGGAAATGGTGGAGGTGGTGGTGGTTAGAGAAATAGGGTTGAGAATGTGATGGTGGTGATGGTAGTAATGGGGGTGAGAGGAGGTGGTGATGGTGATGTGATGAACTTTATAGGCCCAACATGGTTCACCACCAGCATCGCTAATATTGTTTCAACTTAATCACTTATTCTAGATGCTAGATTTTATCACAAAAGTCCTTAGTGATATTTGGGATGAAATATCAAAATATAAGTTGTATTGTATTTTGTCATTAACTTGATGTGAGGCTCTATTCCCAACATGATGGTGGCAATGGTGATGGCCAGAATAGTGAGATGGTAAAGGTGATGTAAATGGATAATATAGTGGTGGTGGTGGTGACGGTGGCGGCGGCGAAGTTGTAGGTGACAGTGGTGTAGGTTGTGGTGTTGGTGACATGGTGGAGGTGGTGGTGGCTGTGGTGGCCATGGTGGCCAAGGTAATGGCAGTGCAGGACATGGAAGTGGGAGGTGGTGATTTCAAAGATGGTTGCAACGGTGGTGATTGTGATGGTGATGACAGTGGTGACATACATGATTTTATTTTTTATTAAACTCGAACTTCGTTTTATAATGTTTTTTAATAGAGTGATAGCATTAGTGCATAAATAGCCATTGTTAGGGGAAAGAGAATCTTTGGACATCAAACGTTCACCAGAGCGCAAAGACATTGATTTTTGCAAATGCGGTAAAACGTCATTTGAAAACAAAAAAATTATCAATTTGATTTTTCACAAAACTTTTTTTTTTTTAACAAATGATATTATCTACCATGAGGGGAAGGAGGGGGTGAGCCTCATAATGGGTTAACAGTAATGTGGTTCAAATTCACCTTTGACTAGAAGCAAACCTAAGAGCTCTCACTTACAAGTGAAGAGGAATACCATTAGGCCGTAGTACTAAGTGACCTTTACAGAACGTAAGTTAAATATTGTTTTCTAAGTTTATTTTCACAAAATTGTCTACTAAATACATTTTTCTCACGTTTTTATATCTACCAATCGAAAAAAATTGTTATGCAAAACGTTGACGAATAATTTTGCCAATTTCTATAATTTTCATTTTGAGAAAGAAAAAGAAACAATCACAGTTTGGCAAAGTACATAATTTTGGGTGAAAATACAAAAATTATAAAATTGAGCTAAATAGTTTAAAGCTGAGCCGAAGCATATTTGTCTCTCTTGATGTGATACTCTCTCTCTTTCTTAGTTGGCTGGAATTATTTTGGCAACTTAATATTTTATCAATAAAAGGCAATTACTAGTGGCATAGACAAGTACCATACACCTAATAAGGCTAAGGGATCATACAACTTTAACTAATTACTAGCAAAGAGCATACACTTTGTATGTGTGAACAATTTCTCTTAATAAGTGCATATTTTTTTTTTAATATTACATAATGTTTGGACCCTAATTTACACTATCGGTCCGTGCAATCAAGGTTGTTGAGTAAGCATAACTCCACACCTTCGGATACAAATGAAGATAATTTTATTATTGTCAAAGGATAATATTATGATTTTTTATCATAATAATTATAATAAATAATGAATTATCTTGTACAAGATAAACGTGATACAAATAATATCTCTAAACTGCAGTTCAGAATTAATTAGGGATATTTGGCATATTAGTGTTGGCAGATTCACGCGGCAATACAGTTACTATTGGATTAGTTTCGTGCAATTAATCAATGCATGTGATAAAGGTGAAAGGTGAAATTTGAAATGGTGATGTAATTAGGATGACATCTGAACAAAAGAGTAGGCTTCAGCCTATGGACACATTGGGAAGAGTCCATTAGCACAAGGATCGTGACGTGGTGATCTCTTGACCATGGATCACATGATGAAGGGATAAAGCCATCATTGTTTGGTCAGATGTGGTCAATTAAAAAGAGATAATTATGGAGTTTTTTTCCAATAATTATCAAAAAAAGATCAAAGGAATATCCTCCACGTGTGCTTGGGAGCCGCTAAATCAAGAGGTGATATTGTGCATGCCGCGTATTGTGGTGATGAGGATTGTTCAAGGTTGTTTATAGCATGGGTTTTACAACATGGTCATCAAGCAAATATCCAACCCTATAAATATAAAGCGGCAAAAAACGGTAAACTCTCTCCAATTCAACACATAAACTGCCCTGCGCAAACTCTCGCTCTACGCGAATCCTCTCAACAACCTTGAGATTTTTATTTTCTTTTTCCCGCTGACACACCTTCAGTTTGGATAAACAGCACTGTGAAGGCAACCGGTGACATCTTTAGTTTAGATAAGCAGCACTGGAGCTGTAGAATCAGTCGATCAAGAAGCACCTTCAGTTTGGATAAACAACACTGCTTCTCGACCGACTGGTTACCTATCCAAGTCTCAGTCGACAAGGATTTTCGAGTCCTTGTTGGTAGAGGTCATCTCATCAACCTTCTCGGTGAAGTGAGGTGTTACAGATTACTGGGCTAGGCGCATTGAACGCCAAGTTGTTTTATGATTGGATATTCACAAGTTTTAGAGTTCGGCATTTTGACGGCCGAACCACATTCACCATCAAGACATACATCTCTTTTGAGTACTTGTGTCCATATAGTTTGGTGCCAATTTGGCGTGCTTATACTCTTATGAATATAATCACCATAATCGAACCCGGTGCCGATGATTCATGAACTTCGCAAGACTAGCAGCTTTGTCTTCAGGCTCTAGAACCCGAAGGCCAAGACGTGTTCCTTCCTCGGCCGCAGTCGCAAGATCAAGAAGTCAGCAGCATGCTCAACGAGACATCAACACATTTTACTCCTCGGGCGAGCTAAGCCGACAAGTTGGCATGCCCCGCACACAACCAAATGACATAGTTAGCTTATTAATTACTCGGCCTGTGCGCCACATAGGCTTGGTAGTTTTTAGGGTCAACACATAATTACTATTTTGCCCTCTTTATGTAAATATTGTGTATCAAAAGTGAGGGTAAAATTGGAAAAATAAGTATATGATTGTCATTTTATGAAAAAAAAAAAAAAGAGGGTAAAATAGGAAAAATAGGGATATGATTGTCGTTTTGTCAAAAGGTACAAAATTACTATTTTGCCCTCCTTTTGTCAATAGTGTGCATCAAAAGTGAGGGCAAAATAGAAAAAAAGGGGAAAAAAGTTGACAATGAGGGTTCTCTTAATAGTATAGATATAGATAGAAGTATAAATTATTCAACCTTTCCTTTTTTTTTTTTTTTTTTTTTTTTTTTTTTTTTTGTAAGTGAGAAATTTTAGGTTCAATTCTCGTGAAATGAGTGGGAAAGTAAGTTAAGCCTCACAATAGGCGTGCCATAGTAATGCAGTTCAAATTTGCCTTTGGCAATAATCAAACCAAAAACCTCTAACTTATAAATGAAAATGAGTACTACTAACTCATTGTACTAAGTAACAATACAACTAGACCTTTTAGTTATAAAAAGTTTCAATCCTAACTTGGACCAATTATATACAGTATTTTACAAGAGGAAAATTTCATATTAAAAAGTCTGGATTTCTAATTTATCCTCCAAAATACCCCATTTACTATGCTTTTTGACAGGCTATATTTCATAGTAGTGTTATTCACAAACTTTTTTTTTATCTTCCACACACATTTATTAATTTTTGTCAATTGATCTTCTTAAATACATTCGGTTGAATGACCGAAAATCGAAAATATGTGTCAGAATTAAAAATAATTTTGTGGATAACATCACTCTAATTCTAGTCAGCACCTTGAAAGTCAGGACTTAAAAACTAATTGGTTAGTCATTAAGGAAGGAGACAGCAACACTTTGTGTGATTCCGAAGTGAAAGCTTGGTGTTTTCTTTCGCTGACCAATATAATTGAACGTTAATTTTCATTTGTCAAAGAGTTCCTCTTGTTTGTTGGCATTTTCTGTATAACCTGTGAAAAGGGATTGAGCAGCCGGGCTGCCCAAATTTCGACAAGGATGTAAATCAAAGCTGCAACACATGTCATGTTTTGTGGTTAAAGATGAGTACTAAACATTTCCTAGTAGGTCTTGTACATTTGATTTGATCAGATTAAAGAGTTTGGGTATAGTGTTATTTTGTCTCTATTACGAGCTTAAGTTTGACTCAAAGATGAATATGAACTTCTACTCAAAACTCTTTGTGTTCAAATTACAGAGGTTTATACTTATGATCAGAACTATTCATATCATGAATCTCTGTAAAGATTATTTATGCCAAAAATGAATTAAAACTAAGTTCATTTATTCAATGATTTTTGGCAGATTTATAGAGTGATTTATAATATGAACAACTCTAATCAAATTTTATGAATCAACAACGAACAATTTTGAGTAGAAACTTCTACTCATCCTTTGTGACGACCCGTCCCGAATAAATATATATTTCCTCCACGAGAGTGTAAAGTGACGAATGCCCTCGAGGCTTAGTGACGTGGATGTATGCATATAGTTTTAAATTATTTTTCTCGCTGACGTAATTAAATTGTACGTGTCGTCATGAGCGTGTTGACGCAAGTTAGGGCCGAATCGGGTTCGTAACGAAA